CCCCCCTGCGGGGCCCCAGGCCCGTAATCGCCATGGGCCCCCGTACCGCCTCCTCATGCTGCTGCAGGTCCAGAGTGTCTCATGGGTCCCTGTACGGCCTCCCATTGCTGCTGTCTCCATCGCCACACTCTGCCATGTGCCACTTTCAGGTCTCCCACACTGCTGGTTGGTTCCATTTTGTCATAGGGTGCTGGCAGATTACGGGCCTCCCATTGCTGCTGCCAGGCCCGTAATCTGCCATGGGCCCCCGTACCGCCTCCTCATGCTGCTGCCAGGTCCAGAGTGTCTCATGGGTCCCTGTACGGCCTCCCATTGCTGCTGTCTCCATCGCCACACTCTGCCATGTGCCACTTTCAGGTCTCCTCACACTGCTGGTGGGTTCCATTTTGTCATAGGGTGCTGGCAGATTACGGGCCTCCCATTGCTGCTGCCAGGCCCGTAATCTGCCATGGGCCCCCGTACCACCTCCTCATGCTGCTGCCAGGTCCCGAGTGTCCCTCGATGGGTGCTGGCAGATTACGGGCCGCCCATTGCTGCTGCCAGGCCCGTAATCTGCGATGGGCCCCCGTACCGCCTCCTCATGCTGCTGCCAGGTCCAGAGTGTCTCATGGGTCCCTGTACGGCCTCCCATTGCTGCTGTCTCCATCGCCACACTCTGCCATGTGCCACTTTCAGGTCTCCTCACACTGCTGGTGGGTTCCATTTTGTCATAGGGTGCTGGCAGATTATGGGCCTCCCATTGCTGCTGCCAGGCCCGTAATGTGCCATGGGCCCCCGTACCGACTTCTCATGCTGCTGCCAGGCCCGTAATCTGTCATGGGCCCCTGTACCGCCTCCTCATGCTGCTGCCAGGTCCAGAGTGTCTCATGGGTCTCTGTACGGCCTCCCATTGCTGCTGTCTCCATCGCCACACTCTGCTATGTGCCACTTTCAGGTCTCCTCACACTGCTGGTGGGTTCCATTTTGTCATAGGGTGCTGTATGGCCTCCCATTGCTGCTGCCTCCACCGCCACACTGTGGCTCCACACTCTGGTTTTGGCCCCGTGACTGCCCAAATGAGTGAAGTGTGCGGTGATTCTAAGATCGACGGCACTCATCTGCATGTCATACTGACTGACAGTATTATTTCTCTTCCCCAGCAGACTCCAAGGGCATTTAAATTAAGGGTACAGTGTTTTGCACTAATATAAAGGCTCTCTGAAGCCTAGAAACACCCTTTTTATAAGTTAATTTCGCAGCGAATATATTCGCCTCGAATCAAATTTATTCCTCGAATTCGCCGAATCAGCCGAATCGAATTTTTGAATACTTCGCTCATCTCTAATGATAGTGACCATGTCTGTTTTTCTAACATAAATTGGAACACAGCCAGGGCTATAAGTAATGTTAGGCCCTCTGGAGAGAGAGCTTTTTTATGCAGTGCATAGCTTGAGAACTTCACTGGTAACAAATATGCTGACTTTACCTCTATGCAGGAAGTTTCTACATGGATAAATGTAGAGGGGTTGTAAATAGACCAGATGTAAGGCCTTCAGTTAAAGTACGCTCCAGACAAAATTGAAAATTAAACCAGGGTATCAGGGGCGGACTGACAACTCATGGGGGCCCCGGGCAATAGGGGATCATGGGGCCCCTGTGTCCTTGCCCAAACTCAAAAAAGCCTATGAAAAAGGTACTAGGGGCATCTCATGGGGCCCCCTACTGACCCCGGGCCCTCGGGCAGTGCCCGAGTTTCCAAATGGTCAGTCCGCCCCTCAGGGTAAGTACACAGAAGGAACACACAGGCTGATCAAGGATTTAGTTTTTTATGCAGGAACTGCTATAATGTACCATTCCACCTAACACCCCTAAGACCCCCATTGCCCCTTGCTGTCTCTCACATACTGAAAATAAAACTGTGTGTGATATTCTACTCAGCCATTCACTGGATTCAAACCTGCCTGAATTTGATTAGTGATATATGTAGCGGAGAGAGAGAAACCTACATTTTGGCTGTGTATAATCAAAGTTTGATTAAAAGAAAACCAAAAACTGACTTACATCACCATATAGAGGCTTTTCAGGCTGTATGAAAAAAAACTTAAAAGCATCTACAAATCCTGTAGCTGTTGACTTTTAATAAAAGGACACTTACTTGTCCAAGGATCCAGCGATGTCCTCACCCAGACCGCATTTTCATTGGTCTTTGGTCTCCCTAGCGCTGGCATGTTTACTAAGCGAAGATGGCTGTGGCTTCAAAGCCAGCTTCCCACTGTTCATGCTCGAGCCACGCTGTGCTTCTCTAATGGCCCGGCAGTCTTCTGGGAGAAGGGGGGTTAACTTCTGTTCAGATCTTCTAGACCAGGGGTGTCAAACTGGAGGCCCTCCAGCTGTTGCAAAACTACAAGTCCCATCATGTCTCTGCCTTTGGGATTCATGCTTGTAATTGTCAATCTTGCAATGCCTCATGTGACTTGTAGTTTGGCAACAGCTGGAGGGCCGCCAGTTTGACACCCGTGGCCTAGATGATCCAGCAACAGTTGGAGTTGGTACCTCTCAAAACCAGGTACCCACTCCCCCCAGAAAAATAATTGTATCCAAAAGTGATACAGGTGGGAAAGCAGAAGTTCTCCTTTTGGGTGAAATTCTGCTTTAAGCAAAAGGCCATCATAATTCCATTTAGAGAGATTACCTACACTGAAGTGTCCAATGGACCAGGAAAAGCATATACAGGTAATCTGTTCAATTTGCAAGAGAGCCGCCAATAAAAACTAGTCAGGTAAGGTTGAGTCTTGCAGGAAAAAGGATTGGGAGAAAGGAGAGAACAGTGGGACCTGGTCATGACTCTTATCTTTCTTGATGCAAGTATACTTAAATCTAATTTTCAGCTTGTTTGTCATAATGTCTCACTCTATACAGTTTTTTTTAAGGTGACCCTGTCATCAATGTCCTGCAGCGAATGAGTAGTCAGCAGAATAAACCACAGCATGCGGTAGGGAAGTCGATACTCTGCAATCTGAAAGGTGGAATACCTCCTGCAACAAATGAGGAATGAAGTGGCAGAGTTTCAATAAATGAGCCTTATGTTTTAAAGTGTGGTGTCAAATATTTTGCAGATAATTCTCCCATGCCTAGGACTCTGATCTTTGTCTCTTTATCTGTCATCACCGATCCATCACTAATTAGGTGATTTTATCAGTGCTGCTAAGCCTTACTGTCCTTTCTCATAAGAACTTTACCAGTAAGACCATGAACCAGAGCACCACATGGAGCTCAGTTCTGAAATTCTATGGGAAGACATCTATTTTTGCTCCATTTTTCTGGTTGAAATACTCTATTAAAGAGCAATACCACTTAAAAGTTTATATTGTTATAGATGGCATCTGGAAAGCCCAGAGCAAGAAAGAAATGGGAACTTTTGGCCTGGAAGGGAAACACAACCCAATTCCCAACACAGAATGTATTGCAGTGCTGCAATTATTGGTGAGTAAGGTGAATGTAGTCTTACAGGGTTAGTTCAGCTTTTTAGAAATAACTTACCTCCATGGGTGATGAGCTGTCTGTCTCAGTGCCCATGCAGCTGGCACAGATATTAAATACCTGCTCTTCTTCTTTCTGCAGCTCTTCCAGAACAGATCAGTACGATGCTCTGTGCCTGGTAATGATCAATCAGAATCGCTCTGAACTGTGTCAGAAGTGCTGAAGTAGAAGTGAGGGCATTTCAAATCCCCCATCCGTTTCAACAGCTGCTTGGGCACTGACAACTCACCACCCATGGAAGTAAGTACAGGGACTGGGAGGATACTGTTAGTTCACATTTTCTTTTCTTTATGTGCCTAAAGGTGTGAATTGTTGTTAATAATAGTAGTATCTGTATTTTTCTCAGGTCAGGTTCCCTTCCTGTTCCAAAGACGCTGATTTTATCCGGTTCCCATCCGGCCTATGGCTGAATGGCGGCCAGCAAAAACCCTACTATGGTAACATTGTACTACTTTGGTCATAGTGAAATATGAAAAAAAATCTTAAAAAAAAGAAAACAATTGTAATAAAAAATGAAAAATATAAAAAATAAAAACAAATATATATTTTTTTTTTTCATACTGTCACCAGTCAGTGTCCCTGTTCACCGCCATGCCAGTTATATGATGATGCTGTACTGCACTGGTGACAGTATGTAAAAAAAAAATAGTGAAAATTATTTTTTTTTATTTTTTCATTTTCTTAAAAATTATGACAAAATAAATACAACTTCAAAAATCTCGCCATGCCTCTTATGAAGTATGTCGGACTGTCTACTTTGCAAAAAGGGGTCATTTGGGGGATATCTGTACTGTTCTGACATTCTTGGACCTCAAAGAAATTAGATTGACTGTCAGTACTTCAGGATTGATCAATTTTCAGATATATCCCATAGTTTGTGAATTCTATAACTTTCCTACAAACTAAAAAAATACATCCTAATTTGGGTTATTTTCACCAAAGACATGTAGCAGAATACATCTCGGCCTAAATTTATGAAGAACAATTATTTATTTGCAAACTTTATAACAGAAACAAAGAAAAACGTGTTTTTTTTTAAATTTCGGTCTTTTTTTGTTAACTTAGCAAAAAATAAAAACCCCAGTGTTGATTAAATACCACCAACAGAAATCTCTAGTTGTGTGAAGAAAATGATAAAATTGTAGTTTGTGTACAATGTTGTATGACCGCGCAATTGTCATTCAAAGTATGAGAGCTCTGAAACATGAAAAATGGCCTGGGCAGGAAGGGGTTAAAAGTGCCCTGTATGGAAGCGGTTAATATATAGAACAGGAACTATGATATAGCTTTATTAAAGGTTGACTGCTGTAATATTAAAGCTGAAGTTTATATCAATATAGCAATGTAGCTTGGATCAATGTTAGTATGCATGTTACATACCTGTGGGATCCCTCTGGAAGCTGGAAATTGCTACTCCACTCCACTAGCTTCCTGGTCTCTCCTCTAGCTTCCTGGTCATCTGGTGAGCGGCCCATCTGCATTCTGAATGAGGTCATTCGCTTGGCATGGGTGTCACTCTGTCAATACTTTGCATTTTTTCAAGGAATGCAAAGTGCTCTCTGATTGGATGAGGTGGAGAGGCGGGGCATCATAATTTCCACCTTGCCCATTCAGAGGACACTTTGCATTAATTGAGACAATGCTAAGTTTTTTTCTGAATGGCACCCATGCCAAGTAAGTGACCTCCTTTGTTCACTAAGTAGCAGGGCAGCTGCTCATCATGGGACCCAAAAGCTTGCAGAGATTACTGAAATCTGGGTGCCTATTACAGTGATTTCCAGCTTCCATGCTGGATCAATACCATGCCTAAACTTTAGCATTAGGCTCCATTCACACCTCAGTATTTTGTAGTGCAAACCTTGAAGCCCCAAAATGCTCAGGAAGAAAAAAAAAATAATGCATCTCCATGGTGGTGGTTCACACTCGAAGCCAAATGCCTGAAGCTCAAAAATGTTTTGGGACTGCGTTTGTAGCTCAAATTGGGCAGATTGCTGCATTTTTTCAGTTCACATGAATGCTACCCCTCCATGTCCCGGGCATTGACAAGAGTAAGCACACATACAGAAGGCACCTCTGCATGGAAGATGAGTAGGCCCAGATGTCTCTGTTTGGAGAGCAGAAAGCACTGTAAAACACAGAAAAAACCAGGCAGGAGATGAAAATAACCCAGGAAGCAAATGATGTAACAGATGATATTTTTCTCTACTGGCTAATATAAAAACACCAGAGCTTCAAAATGCTTGAAAACTCAGTACAAAAATGCGCAAAAACGCACATCGAAATGCCCTAAAAAAACCTGTAAAAATGCAGCGCTCAATTAGAACCTGTTAAAGGGAGGTAGTAAAGGGTTAAATTAGTAAAATGGCTTATTGAGATCAACAACTGAAACACCATGGGAACAGTCATACACATAATGCATGGTTACGCCAAATCTCACTGTAAATATACAAACCATATTCAGCTTTGTCCTTGGGAGAGTCTTGTAATTTTTTTATGATTTATTGCATAGATTGACTTTCAAGGTCAGCAAAAGTTGAGTATAAAATTCTGCTTTTTCATGTTCAAATAGCGCAGAGAGCACACATTCACAGCTACATCATGTAAATATTTGCACACACTTCAAAGTTTACCTTCTATTGATTGGTATGAGCCAGTGGCAGTTTATTAAATT